TCGGTTAAACGGCCAGTTAGAGAGGGACGGCCTGGGGCTTGCCGCCATAGCAGAAGTAGTAGTAGGTATGAGGATGAGCCATGGAAGTGCTTGCTCGTTGCTGTCGCCGCCGCCGTTGGGGTGGAATGGTGTAAGACCAGTGCGGCAGCGAGATGAGGAGAAAAGCCGTCGAGTTTTCGCTTGCCGGGCGTCGACCCGACGAGACTTCACGACGACCACCAAGTTGGATATGGGAGTATCTTGGCAGAAACGACGACGATTACTGTCCTTTCCTCAGTGATGGTCCCCGAAACTAGCACTACTAGGCTAGAGTAGGTGGTGAGGCGTCGTCGTGGGTGGGGGCGGGAGATGGGACGCGAACCGAGAACCAAGCAACGGGTAAGGACGACAGAGAGGAGGAGGATTACGGGTGATCATTAAAATGCGCCTTAAAGCCGCTCTGCTGATGCCGGCTTCCCGTAGAAGCGATGGCGGTTGAGCTGAGGAAACGACAGCCAAAGGCGAGAGATGCTCTAGCAGTGCTGCTGCCGTATCCATTGGGAACCAAGGATAGGCAGGGATGGTAGGGGAGAAGGAATATGGAAGCAAGGAGCAAGATATGGTCGTGGGTCCCTTCCCACCTGCTAATGTGGGTGTTCTGAGGAAACGAAGCAAGCCCGTAATGGTTCTGCTCCACGGCTTCACGGCTCACAAGCCAGCTAGCTAGCGGACTCGCGTCAAGCCAATCTTACGTCCAAGAAGACAAGCAGCCAGACAGGCCGCCAGATTTTCTTAAGGAAAGAAAGGTTGGGCCCACTATGAGAATACAAGTAGACTGTGCATAGTAGTCTGCCGACGATGATTTCAACAGCGGCAAGAAAACGAGAGCCCAGAGGGACAGAAAGGCTACGGCTAGTACCGAAGAACTGTGAAATGAAAGCGAACCTGGTTGTCTTCAGAAGGACGAGGCTGAATGTACAAGAACGAAAATTTTGGGGTTGCGTTGATAGGCAAGAAAGCAGCTAGCTGAAGAGGCAAGAGATGGCAGCAAAACATGAAGAAGAGCGCACGAGAGGCCAGGAGACCAGCTGCGACGCGGAGTTGCTAGTGGTGGTGGCGATATAAGCAGCGGTGGTAACCGCGCTTCCAGTAGTTGGCTGTAGGAAAAGGAAAGGAAGGCCTCGGTGGAAGGTCTTTCTCTCGCACTCTCTCTGTCTCTCATTCGATGTCCCTCGTTTTCTGTCGACAAAATTTGAATCGGAAGATGACAGCGTGGCGAGACAGACGACGCCATCCATCATTCCAAAGACCCAAACACATGATACCTATCCATGTGCGCGACTAGCGCGCTGGGCCACAACGTCACAAGCGTCTATATGCTCCTGGCTTTTATATCTGGATGCATCGAGGAGGACTCACTGCTGCTCGGAGAGGGCCGTAGCAGTGATCACAGAACCTCAACGGCCTCAGTCATATGAGTAGTACGTAAAAGAGGAGAAACGAAGGAAAGGCTGAAGGAAGCAGCAGCACCGACATCGAGATGACTTCTCGAAGATCATACATGCATTGCCAAACAGGCCACTCCAAAAGCCAAGGAGTGTTGCGAGGGAACCAACGCATAGAATGCCAGTAGCCAGTCCAAAGGAAAGCAAGACAGGAGAAAGAGCAGGAGAAGGTGGAGTCAGGAGACTAGAGCCAAGAAAGCGGGGAAGCGGGCGGACAGGGCAAAAGCAAACCATTATATTCGACGTGTGCTCACAAATGAAGGACTTCCTGTCATCAGCGTCCGGTGCAGTGCTCTCACGGGTGCCGTCCACTGGGAATCGCCGTCCTCCCGGTTGTTGGCTCGACAGATGGTTTTATGCAATCAGCCTTCTCCTACGTACTACTACTACTACTACTACTACTACAACAACTACTCTCTATGCACAACGACTGAAGCTACCGGTTCCGTCTGTTTGTAGGAGAGTCTCTTTAGCTTTTGGCTTTTGCCTTTCGCTGGATGGCTGGTTTGAGTGAGAGACGGAAAAAGAGAAAGAGAGTCTTCTAACGCAGACGGCCTTCCACTATTTTATCCGTTGATTCTGCTGTACGTAGTGATTTCTGTCATCTGCCCATTTGCCATCTGCCCCTTTTGGTGTTAGACCCACCATACGATTCCCCTGCCGATTCAGCTTCAAAGCTTCATAGTCGCGCTGCTTTCCTTATGACTTCCTCTGTCCGTTGCGGCGTCCACGTGTGAGCAAAGCCAACGAGCTTCTGTGTCTAATCCCACCGAGCCACACATGGCAGCGTGAGATACGTACGTTATACACATTATGTCATCACCGCGTAGCGCTTTGCTTTAATAATGCGATGTTGGGAACGAAGACTGGGAACAAGTCAGCTAACAGCTGATGACTACAGGCTGCCGGTGCAAAATAGAGAACTGGTAGGTTGGCTACTCGCATCATTAAAATCACGATTACGATGACGATCATATTCCGTGGAAATGGTACTACCGCCCATTCGTAGTGGTGCTCCGAGCGAAGTCTTGGCGCAGCCATACAGCTCCGTTCCGACAGCAGCTCCTGCGCTGCGGAACTATTCCCTGCTTTAGAATCAGTCAGCTGAAGCTAGCTTGGTACGAAGCGCCGGATGACGACTCTGCTCCTGTCCTAGCCATCTCTTCACTTATGGACCCTGCTGTTTGGGATATGGTTGTAGTCCGCAGAAGCGAGTACTCCTGATTTGTTAGTTTCAGCTTCTTTAAGAGAAGAAGAAGAAGAAGAAGTTTTGAATGATCTAGCGCGGCCGCAAATGGCTCTGCGACAGGTAATTCCAGAATCAGCAGGCGAGGCTTCGTTGCTTTCAAAAGAAAAGGACTTCAACGTCAGTTCATGTGATTCAGGGCCCTCAATACGCCATATTGACATGGGTGCACGTGAAGAGCGCTACTGAATAGTGAAAATTACAAGAATTCAGACCAGAATTGTGTTAGAAACAGATTTATGTCAAAGCTGCAGAGTCACCTCGATATTTTCGATCCAATACCAGGCCTTAGGCTTACATAGTTCTGCTCGTTCGAAAGCGACAAAAGCCGGCAAAGAGATAATGGATAGTCAAAGATAGACAAACAACTAATCTTCACTCAGAGTGGCAAAGACGTACAGCCGTACTCAGAAGAACAACCCAGCTCAATCGAGGCCTGTTTCCAAGTTGAATACGAGCTAGTTAAACGAATATGGGTTCAAAAAAGCCTCAATAAAGAGAACATCATGTAGGAGCTCATACGAAACAGACCGACGGACGGATCAAACGAGATACGCGTTAGTGTAGTTGCCTAGGCTAGATGCATAAGACTTGCCTTGCAGAAAGCGCTGTATCAAGCTGTGTGTTCAAGAGAGTATTAGAATCTGGTAAAGTGAGTGGGTGTGTCTGTCTTTTCCTTCTGAACTACTGGCCCCTAATGCAGCGGTTACTGTAAAGGACGTTCGGTTTGCGCGGGTGGCTTTCAGTGCAGAGAGCAGAGTGGAGGACAGCGGACAAATTTTAGGGGCCGAGTTGAGTCGATGAGGGAATTTTTTGTGAAAAAGGAGGTTCGTCTGGCTCTGTGTTTTAAACGTGTACGACTTCTCCCCGCTGCTTGCCAGTCGATTCGTGGAAACCTAAACAGAAGAGCGAAAACCAACAGAGAGAACCGGATCAACGACCAACTTCGACAACAAGACAGCCTCCACCATTTCCCAGCATTTCTAACCATTCTTCAATGGTTGTTAGATTTGTGGAAGCCAGCATTGCGCTAAACTACAGTACACAACTACCGCCAGCACTCGGCTATGCGGTAGCAGTTTGGAGGCGGATCCAATGAACAGACCCCAAAAAGCCGAGCATTAGGTGAAAGAACCCAAAGCGTCAAACGCCAATCAGCGAGTACCCACATGGCTTCCGCAAATGAAACATATGCAGTATGGAGGACAGTGTCCACAAAAGGTATGCAGTAGCAGAGCGCAGGAAGCCTATCCCCCACGTCAACCCCTTTGATCTAAAGGCGTATATGCGCATAAGTTTAGAGACTCCTTGTCGACTCCATGCTGCCGGCGACCTGCATGATGCTTACGTCTACACAGCAGATGCACGTCATCTCAGTGTGCATCTTACAGCCTATCATACAGACTGCTTGTAGAAGTCTCTCTTGCCTCAAGCAGCGGCGCGGACGCTCGGGCAGCCAGGGTGGGAAAGACACTGTCAGAGACCTAGTATAAGGTGCCGCTTTCTTTCTAATCGAACGTTGCTAGCACTTGCTCAGTAGGAATCTGGGTCAAGGCACATTCCTTAACTTATTTCGCTCACTCCTAGGGGGAGTAAGTCGCTGACTCGCTGGGCGGCTGGCCGCTCTCTGCTTATGGCCGACAGCGGCACCGCAAGCAGTGCCGTGTGCAACAGAATCCTCGGGGCAGGCAACGCTTAGTCCGCGAGATCCATGTGCAGACGGTGAGCGTGTAGTGCTGCAGCTTTCTTGATTGCGGTTATCCCGGCCAACGGGGCATATTTCGACATAGCGCAGACCTCCACCTGCGCTACGCACAGCTACATGCAGTCTACAGGATTCCTGTATTCTGTCAGGCTCTCTGCCTCAGCTGAATCACATGAAACGTGTGTCATCTTAGCGTCTGGAAGTTGAAACACCCACGTGATAAGGTGACTTCGTAGGAATTTGATTTTGTCGTGTGCACGTCATTGCTTAGGGTGTTGCATTGCTCGCTCACTTACGCGCGCGCTCAGTCATCTCCTAGCAAGTACTTTCCACTTAACTAAGTTTGTCTTCAAGTTCCGGCTGGTTTCGTCATATTAATACGGAAAACTGTGGTGATTATGCGGTTGACCAAAAATCACAGTGTGTGAGCTTTTTGGTATATTTCTAATATGCGATACTCTAAATTTACAAATTTTTTTTTCCTGTTCCACTTAACGTCTGTTCCCTTCCTGTTTGAACCTTGCTAGAATGGCATTATTACATCTGAATTTTTACTCTATTTCAGGTGAGAAAAAATGTTCTTCTTTTTCCGGCAAGGCGATCTCGAAGCCAGCCAGCGGCGTTGTTGTCAACTTAATCCCTGTCTGTCTTGACACAGTCTAACATTTGTTCAACCAAGAACGATTCTTTACTCTACAAAGGTATACGTCGCATCGCAAGACCCACGATATCTTTGCTAAACTTGTTATACATATTGATTTTGCAGCACATATTAATTTGGCTAAAATGACTTGCCAAAAAATATGGACAAAGTTCTGAAGTATCAATGCAATGTCGCTGGCCTTGTCGGGTAGTACGTGTATGTCATGTGTAGGTAAAGATTGTCGAACGGCATTGACGAGCCTGTTGGAGAGAACAAATGACAAATGCGTTTTAGGCCTCGGAGTGCTTTCTTCTGCTGTGATTAACCTCCAAAGTAAAGGTTTTTTCTTTCGTCTCTTGAGGTGGGCGCAACGTGCGTCTCCGCTGCCGCAGCTACTGACTTCGCGAACTACCCCTATGGTACTCCGAACGAAGAGGAGCTCTCCATTGCTCTGAGATGAGCAACTAGCGCTTTGGAGCTGCCTGCCAAATGGCTAAACAGGGCTGGTAGACAGAGAAGAGCCACACCGTTGAAGAAGGTGCTCGTAGCAGTTTCAAGAGTTACAGCTGTGTGGGCTGCAGCGCTTTGGGAAGCTTTCCGCTTCTGGCTTCTTCGTTCACTCGTTTGTGGAGTAAAAAATGAAAATGGAGAGCAGCAGATCTAGCCCAGCCGTGGCGTGCAGGCGGACGCCAGCCAAAGCTAGCCAGCTTGCAAGTTGAATGAAACAAGGCAGATAGGTACTAAGGCTACAGGCACCAACAGCCAGGTACTACGCAGCTAAGGATGAGGAAACACCGTATCTACTCTATGGGCGTCAGGCTATCTAGATCGTTGGGGCAGCAATAGGAAGACAGCAAGAAGGCGGGAAAGGCGCCATTGAGGAGAGGCAGGCGGTGAAAGAGGGCGAGAGAGCAACAGGAGACGATTAGGACCAGCCGTCGTAAGGTCATTTATTACTATACTCGAAACTGCGGTATCACTACCACCATCATGGCCGCCGACCTCCGGTTCCACGGGGGCCTGTGCGATCGCGACCACGACTCGCCGCTATTATAACAGAGAATTGAAAAGAGAGACGCATACAAAGTGAAAAACGTCTCGCGTGTAGGAAGACAGGGAATAACAACGTTGGAGGATCACCGCCAGAACAAAAGCCCAGCGCAGATGCAAAAGACTGTTCCAAATTGGCTTAGATGGGAAACGGGGGTGGCAGGAGTTAGTCGATACCAAAGCGCCGGGAACGAGTGCGGGTCAGGCTCAAATGCACGCTTGTTTGAAGACCCTGAAAAATCCTACAGCGGGGGAGGATGGCACGTATAGGGTGAGTATACATCGATCTCCTTGACGATGTGCTACCGACGGTGTACGAGTCGACCAATAATCCCACGCACGTTCATTTCCCGTTGACTAGCAAAAACAGTCCTCTCAAGTTGCTTTGTCTCGTAGCATAATCTTGTCTTTCTTTATAGAAATAAAGGCCACAGTGATTTGAGATACCCAAAATAAATAATATGTGCAATCAGAATGGCCCTGCTGCGCTCTGTCTGGTCATAGTGATCCTCTACACTTTGGATTAATGTTTGCTTCTTATATCGAATTCGTTCGAGCCGTCCCCAACGCTAGTAACGGTAGTGGTTGTAATGAAAATAGGTCTTCGTCTGCACTACGTTACGCTGTAATAGATCCGAACACACACGTATGTAGAGTCACTGGTAACTGTACCCTATACGAGCGAAGCGGATGAATACCGTGAGGTCCTCTTAGGGCATTTATAAGACGCCTACAATAAGACAAACCTTCTAGAGAGTTGAGCCAAAAGTGTACATCGATAGTATCGTAAGTGTCATGAGAGAGACAAGCGTGCACACGCCCAAAAGGAATTGATCGCCAAGAACTTGATTTGCTTCGAACGTTCCACGATGGGGCGTTCGTGTCGCTGGGTGTACTCGTGGACATCTAAGATAGACAGGCTCGACAAATCGTGAAAAGATAAGTGCCTGTATAGTTGAACACTAATATCCGCAATACTTCACGTAGTAGCACGAGTCTAGACTAGCGACTTTTTTCTCTTTAAGAGTTAGGTATAGCTGGAGGTCATGTTAGGATATGGTTCTGATGGTGAAAGTCGTCAAGGTGGTACGCCTTTAACTATGTTTTCGATCTTCCCCTCCTTCAGAACACATCATTGACCTTTTGATTCGAATATATGTATACATCCTGATCTATAGGCGGTTCCAAAGCCAATATTTTGACGGCTAAAGTTGTAAAATGGTTAGTGCGCATGACATTTATTCGACATGCAGCATAAGATACCCCAGTGGTTGACCTCATCAGCAGGACGGTATCTTGCAGGGTCAATAGAGCCCAAGTTACTTTTGTGTGTAGTACTGCAGTACGCCATCAGTTGCTAAACCTGTCCAAAGTTCGTGTTCTGCTCACCAGCTATTCACTTAATCGTTGACAATGCTGACTGACTGACGACTGTTGTTAGAGGGCTGTCGGAATGCAGCTAGAGGCAGTTACGGTGTGACAAAATCCGCAGAAGTGAGTCGGCTCGTCTGTCCGCTTCTCTCTCCCTCGCGTTGGCGTTCGACAACGACGACGGACGCAGCGACGAGTCCGTTTATCAAACAATAACTGTGGCTGGCTCTGTAAGCGCCAGTCGGTAGGGACCACAGGTCCTGATGGGAGAAACAGCTACCAAACCTTAGTTCTCATCTCTTCTGGGAATAAAAGCGAACACGGAACGGGGTTAGTCGCGGAAAGGGGGTCGGTGTGGCAGCAGTGGCAGCGCTGAATGGAAGGGGAGTTGGCGTGGAGGCAACAATCTCTGCTGTTCCCCATCGCCGACCTTTTCGGCGTACGTCTCTCCTTGCCCCTCATCTTATCGCTGCACCCCTGGTTCTCCTCGGGGCCATTTTTCATTTCGCTACTGCTGCTGCTCTTGCCGCCTCTGCTAACGCCGTGGTCGCTGTTTGTGCTTCACCGCCACTAGCGGCTGGTGCTGCTGCTGTGGCAAAAATGCAGCAGCCGCGCCCGTCGCCCACCCTCTGCTCGGCCCGGTCATAGTGCGCTCCTCCTGCAGCACCATCTTTGAGCTTGTCTAGCCCGCACCCATCCGCTATACAAGGCTCTGGCGCCCACTTTGCTGTGCTGTCGAGTTAGCGAGGGAGACGGTTCAAGGCTTCGGTCGCTTGAAACGGTCGCTTCGCTTCTCGACCACCGCTGGCCGCTTCGACTTTAGGAGCAGCAAGCAAACGAACAGGCGGTGGACTGGGCCACTACAGCATCCATATGGCAACAATCGGTAGTAGAAGGCCAAGCGGTGTGCGTTCAGGGAACGAGGACCAGCAAAAGGGCGAAATAAGGTTGTTCGAGGCTAGTAGAAGAAATAGCAGCAAGGCTTATGTGCGTCAGGCAAAGTGGCGTGCGGGGTTGTGGGAATGGGGGGCAAGAAGTGGCGGCAGTAGCAGCATCAGAAGCAGCAATAGGTCCTTGCTTAGGGCGACAAGTCAGTCACGACAACGAAGGCGGTGGCGGTGGCGGTGGCGGTGGCGGCGGCAGGGACGACAAGGAGCTGCAGTAGCACACAACGAAACGCCAACACGTTGTCTCGAGGACTGGGGTTATGAGAGGGTGAGCTCGTAAGCGAAGGATGAGGACTGAACCAAACGCGCCTTTGCGGCGGCGGGCACCGGTGCTGACATTGGTAACACGGACTTGTGTTACTTGCAAGTCAGCCATCCAGTCAGCTTTCTATCTTGCCTATATGTGTATGTGTGTGTACATATATATATATATATATATATATTTGTATTTTTGTGTGTGTGTGTGCAATGCACACACTCGCAGTATGAACGTATCGGCAACAATAGCTGCTGCTTCTGGAGGTGCAGGCACTGCAACGTTATACGAGGTGAGTCGCTTAAAATGAAGCCAAATGTTGGCTAGGAAGAAATGAAAACCAAGAGGCGTTACCGGCGTGCGAAATGCCAAAGCATGGCTTACTTCTGTTGGCTACCATCCAGATCGTTCTAGCCGTTCCCTGCACAGATTCCCTTCCGCCTTCGTTCCTTGCCCCGTTGACTGAATTGCTCGGATCGAAAAGAAACGTCGGGCCAAGCGAAGTTGTTGATTGGTATTATGAGTAGTAGGTCACAAAGGGGAGAAGTACGTAAGTTATTGCAGTACGGGAAAAATACTTACACTGGAGTGATCAGCCAATTGACCAGTAGTGATAAGAAGCGCAAGTTAGTCTGGGTTTGTTTGTCACCTCAGCGGAAATTAGGATGATTCAAATACCGTATAAGAATTGTGCAGCAGACGCTAAAATGTCGAATGACGAAAATATAATATAATCACATGACTTGCGCAAAAGCCTCATTCACCGCGTTATGAAGCGTTTACTTTTCCTTTATTGTAAAGCAACTTCCCGTCAGTGTTCTAACATATGCAACTAACTTCGGCTTGCTCGAGCTAACGCAAACTGAAACTTAATCATGTAGCGATACGTTAAAAACATGATGTTCAACTTCATGTACATGTTTCATGTAGAGCTTTGATGGGTCTGATGTTGATGTTGCTCATCATTTCGATGTTCTGTCACCGGCCTTACCGTTGCAGTCGTCTAGCGAATAGCTTAACTTCCTGCACAACTTGTTCCCCTCCATCCACATTTATTTGCTACATAACGTTGCCATTTTGAGCAAGATTTGCTCGCTGGGGAAATTCGAGGTGTGCTGTTCGCTGGTGAAGCCACTATCGACTGTTGACTCTGCGTCGTGTTCAGACTACGACTTGCTGTGCAGAGCAGAGTTTTTCCCTACGAAGGCTGGCGTCCCGGTTATCCCCTCAATCTTCTGCGCCCCCGCCACCCGTCCTCGCCATCGTTCGCAAATGGTTGGCGGTCGACGACTTCGGCGTTCTCGGGTGTCACTTTACAGCCTCCAGGAAGGCAGCTGCCAATCCTCAGTGGTTTAGCTATAGTCGACGGACCGCTCGGTCTTTCCGCACGATAAAGTCTATGGACGCGACATCACCGCTACAACAGGACGGCTG